ATATAGCATGTAAAATACGGTGTAATCACTTAAATATTGTGTAAGGAACTTATAAAAATAACCTATGCCAATGTTGAAAATTGATTAATTGTAGAAACAAAATATTCTTAATGCTGTGGAACACCAGCCGTACTAATATAGCAAGCACAAGACGATACAGACACTACTTGTACACTGTGTAAACAACTTATAAAAATAATGTTGAACATATTGCCAATATTGAAAATTCATTGTTGAAAGTAAAATGTATTATGCGGTGGTATAGCAGCCATATTAACATGAAATAATAGTTAGACCTGATGTATAATCTAAGTGAATATGATGAAAATATGGCAATTGCCTTGTATGATACTTAAAATATTTAAATTTAAGCATGGGCAAATGGAAAATTATATTCAATACCGATATTAAAAAAGTTATTGAGCAAACAAAAGAAGTTACAATCACTTGTATAATGCGTAAAGAACTTGTAAAAATAATGTTGAGCATAATTCCCATGTCTAAAATCAATTGTAGAATACAAAATAAATATTATACTAATATAAAAATATATCACAGGAAATATTTTGTATAAAATGTAAATTATTATTGATATTATTATATTATATATATTATATTATATTATATATATTATATTTTACACAAATTATATATAATATTACTGTATATATAATATTTATGGAAATATTTCATACAAAATATAAATTATTATTGATAATATAATAATATAAAAATAATAATTAAACATTCTACACAAATTAAATATAATATTAAAGTATAAACATATTTAAAATATTTCATATAAAATATATATTTATTATATATTTAATATTATATTATATTATATTATATTATATTATATTATATTATATTATATTATATTATATTATATTATATTATATTATATTATATTATATTATATTATATTATATTATATTATATTATATTATATTATATTATATTATATTATATTATATTATATTATATTATATTATATTATATTATATTATATTATATTATATTATATTATATTATATTATATTATATTATATTATATTATATTATATTATATTATATTATATATTATATTATATTATATATTATATTATATATATTATATTATATTATATTATATTATATTATATTATATTATATTATATTATATTATATTATATTATATTATATTATATTATATTATATTATATTATATTATATTATATTATTATATTATATTATATTATATATTATATTATAATATATATTATTTATATTATATATATATATTATATATATTATATTATATTTCATATAAAATCAATATTATATATATTTATAATGATATTAAAACATCATAAAAATTATATAAAATAAAATTAATGATTTTTTTTTTCATATCAAACTGCTTTATTTATTTTTTTATTATGAATTCAATGTATTTTAATATAATTTTATGACTACAATCGAAAATATTAATAATGAACAAAACATATCTAAGGTAATAATGTTGTAAAAAGAAGATTGGCGGGAAAGCTGACAGAAAACATCTATAAGAATTGGCGTTTTAGAAAATCTACCACTTTTATTTCCTAAAATATGGTTTCTACACAAAATTAAAAAAATTTTTAATGAATGGAAATGTAGAAACAAAGTGGTTTTTAAAGAGATGGATGTTTTTGCTATTAATTTTTTTAAAATTAATTTGCAGATTATTCGTCTATATTCAAGGTAACATTTCTTTCGTAATAAACAAAATTTCATTTAACGATGGTTTTGTTTTGGAAAGAAATAAAAATTTTAAAAAAGAGATGGATGTTTTGTTATACATTATTGTGCAAACAATTTTTATAGCAATTATTCGTCAATATTCAAAGTGTAATTTTAGTTTTGATATGCCTCACTTAATGTATTAAGGGTTGTGTATCCTATAACTAAAAGTTTATTTATTTTAATAAATTTAAATTAAATTATTACTGTATTTTTGATGCTGTATAAAATATTGATATTGGATAATATGTAATTCTTAATTACATATCAAATGAAAATCATATATATTGAAAAATATATTTTGATGCATATGTCTAAATAAATAGTGAAATAAAAAATTTTTATTCATGTATAAATTGAATAAAATTAAAATTTAATTGAAATGAAAATGACGAATATGACGCGATATAAATAGCCGATTTTCGTTTATTTTTCTTTTCAGTAATGAAAATGAAGTAATACAAAATAATATTAACATTATTCTGGTTGATCCTGCCAGTAGTTATATGCTTGTCTCAAAGATTAAGCCATGCATGTCTAAGTACACACGAATTAAAAGTGAAACCGCAAAAGGCTCATTATATCAGTTATGGTTCCTTAGATTGTTAGCAGTTACTTGGATAACTGTGGTAATTCTAGAGCTAATACATGCATTATAAGCACGTACCTTCGGGACGTGTGCTTTTATTAGGCTAAAACCAAGCGATTGAAAAATCGTTAATATGGTTGAACTCTAGATAACTTGCAGATCGCATGGTCATGTACCGGCGACAGATCTTTCAAATGTCTGCCCTATCAACTTTCGATGGTAGGATAGTGGCCTACCATGGTTTCAACGGGTAACGGGGAATAAGGGTTCGATTCCGGAGAGGGAGCCTGAGAAACGGCTACCACATCTAAGGAAGGCAGCAGGCGCGTAAATTACCCACTCCCAGCTCGGGGAGGTAGTGACGAAAAAATAACAATACAGGACTCATATTAGAGGCCCTGTAATTGGAATGAGTACACTTTAAATCCTTTAACAAGGACCTATTGGAGGGCAAGTCTGGTGCCAGCAGCCGCGGTAACTCCAGCTCCAATAGCGTATATTAAAGTTGTTGCGGTTAAAACGTTCGTAGTTGAACTTGTGCTTCATACGGGTAGTACAGCTATAATTGTAGTTTGTACTGTACCTTATGTATGTAAGCGTATTACCGGTGGAGTTCTTATGTATGTTAAATACTTGTATTTTTCATATGTTCCTCCTATTTAAACCTGCTTCAGTGCTCTTCACCGAGTGTTGTTGTGGGCCGGTACAATTACTTTGAAAAAATTAGAGTGCTCAAAGCAGGCTCCAAATGCCTGAATATTTTGTGCATGGAATAATGAAATAAGACCTCTGTTCTACTTTCATTGGTTTTTAGATCAAGAGGTAATGATTAATAGAAGCAGTTTGGGGGGCATTAGTATTACGACGCGAGAGGTGAAATTCTTGGACCGTCGCAAGACGAACTACTGCGAAAGCATTTGCCAAGGATGTTTTCATTAATCAAGAACGAAAGTTAGAGGTTCGAAGGCGATCAGATACCGCCCTAGTTCTAACCATAAACGATGCCAGCTAGCAATTGGGTGTAGCTACTTTCATGGCTCTCTCAGTCGCTTCCCGGGAAACCAAAGCTTTTGGGTTCCGGGGGAAGTATGGTTGCAAAGCTGAAACTTAAAGGAATTGACGGAAGGGCACCACCAGAAATGGAGCCTGCGGCTTAATTTGACTCAACACGGGAAAACTTACCAGGTCCGAACATAAGCGTGTAAGACAGATTGATAGCTCTTTCTCGAATCTATGGGTGGTGGTGCATGGCCGTTCTTAGTTCGTGGAGTGATTTGTCTGGTTAATTCCGATAACGAACGAGACTCAAATATATTAAATAGATGCTTTCAGGATTATGGTGTCTGAAGCTTTTATAACCTTCATTCATGAGTGCAGTAAAATGTATGAGTGTTTGAATGTGTTTATGAAGGTGGAGCCGTACCTGTTGGTTTGTCCCATTATAAGGACACTAGCTTCTTAAATGGACAAATTGCGTCTAGCAATAATGAGATTGAGCAATAACAGGTCTGTGATGCCCTTAGATGTCCTGGGCTGCACGCGCGCTACAATGAAAGTATCAACGTGTATTTCCTAGACCGAGAGGTCCGGGTAAACCGCTGAACCACTTTCATGCTTGGGATTGTGAACTGAAACTGTTCACATGAACTTGGAATTCCTAGTAAGTGCGAGTCATTAACTCGCTTTGATTAAGTCCCTGCCCTTTGTACACACCGCCCGTCGCTACTACCGATTGAATTATTTAGTGAGGTCTTCGGACGTGATCACTGTAACGCCTTGCGTGTTGCGGATGTTTCGCAGAAGTTGACCGAACTTGATTATTTAGAGGAAGTAAAAGTCGTAACAAGGTTTCCGTAGGTGAACCTGCGGAAGGATCATTAATGTATTCTTACCGTAATATATACAAAAATATTTTCAAGTAAAATATTTAATATTTTCCAAATAAAACACACAAAGAAAACTAGCCATTGGCTAGTTCATATATTTTTAAAAATATTCTGCTAAGAACAGAATAAAATTGTAGCAATATTGAAAAGATATGGCTTACCCTTGGGTAGTGCCATATCTTCAAATACATTCATTATTCTCCTTAGAGCTGGGGAGATAAGAATGTATAAGCAAAAGTGTAGCAAATGATTCCGTCATAATGACGCATTGTGGTGCACTATAATTAATACATTATTGTTCGAGGTGGAGTGTCCCACACCTTGAACGATAATAAAAATCATGCAATGTAAGATCGTCAGTTCTTACCCTACTAACGACAAAAGTTCTACCCTACTAATGACAAAGAAGGTTCACCCTACTAATGACAAAATTTTCAAAAATCGTCATCTATTTAGTGACGCAATTATCTCGTAAATAATTTTATGCTAAACAAAAATTATGAAAATAAAAAAACAAATAATATGCAAAAAATTATAGTTCATTATTCTCCTTAGAGCTGGGGGGAGATAAGAATGTATAAACAAAAAGTGTAGCAAATGATTCCGTCATAATGACGCATTGTGGTGCACTATAATTAATACATTATTGTTCGAGGTGGAGTGTCCCACACCTTGAACGATAATAAAAATCATGCAATGTAAGATCGTCAGTTCTTACCCTACTAACGACAAAAGTTCTACCCTACTAATGACAATAGAAGGTTCACCCTACTAATGACAAAATTTTCAAAAATCGTCATCTATTTAGTGACGCAATTATCTCATAAATGATTTTATGCTAAACAAAAATTATGAAAATAAAAAAACAAATAATATGCAAAAAATTATAGTTGTACTTATATAAAATAATAATAAAAATTTTATATAAGTTAATCATTGTTCTATTATTGAACTAAGACATTCGCAACAAAAATTTTTTGCTGTAAAATAAAATAAATTATTGAAGGAATTGATGTATGCCAATTTTAGAATTTTGGTGTATTTTTGATTTCTTTCAATAAAGATATATATGAAATATTTTTAAAAACAAAAAACTAAATCACTCTAAGCGGTGGATCACTTGGCTCATGGGTCGATGAAGAACGCAGCAAACTGTGCGTCATCGTGTGAACTGCAGGACACATGAACATCGACATTTTGAACGCATATCGCAGTCCATGCTGTAAAGTACACTAATTTTTAATTATTGTGCTGCTTGGACTACATATGGTTGAGGGTTGTAAGACTATGCTAAATGAGTTGCTTTTTTTTTAAATTAAAATCAAAGCACATGTTGTATTACTGGATGTAAAAGCATTCATAATACTAATAACCAAGATACCAAATGTACCTCAAATTGAATATAATCAAAAGAATATTCTTTTTTTTTATAGAGGAAGGTCTAGTATAAAAAAAATTTTTTTTAATCTAGAATTGCTTCTTAAAGAAAAATTGAATAACCGTATGTTCCATACTATATATATATATATATATATATATAGATGAAGAACAACAAAAAGTCGTAACAAAGTCAGTCAGCCGTAGAAAGAAAAAACAGATTTTTATTCAAGAAAAAGAAGTACATATATCTTAATTAATTTTAAATATATATTTATACAACCTCAACTCATATGGGATTACCCCCTGAATTTAAGCATATTAATGAGGGGAGGAAAAGAAACTAACAAGGATTTTCTTAGTAGCGGCGAGCGAAAAGAAAATAGTTCAGCACTAAGTCACTTTGTCTTTATGGCAAATGTGAGATGCAGTGTATGGAATGTCAAATTTCTAGTATGAGAAATTAGTGATTTAAGTCCTTCTTAAATGAGGCCATTTACCCATAGAGGGTGCCAGGCCCGTATAACATTAATGATTATTAGATGGCATTTCCAAAGAGTCGTGTTGCTTGATAGTGCAGCACTAAGTGGGTGGTAAACTCCATCTAAAACTAAATATAACCATGAGACCGATAGTAAACAAGTACCGTGAGGGAAAGTTGAAAAGAACTCTGAATAGAGAGTTAAATAGTACGTGAAACTGCTTAGAGGTTAAGCCCGATGAACCTGAATATCCGTTATAGAAAATTCATCATTATGACTTTAATATTTAAAAATATTATAATAATAGTGTGCATTTTTTCTATAAAGGACATTGTAATCTATTGACATTAATAAAATCTATCAAAAGATCAATTGCGAAGGTTTATTCGATTTATTTTGCTTGCAATTTAACATAGGGTAAACGCTTTTGATTTGATAGAGTGTCGATAGATTTATTATATATGGTGCTTGAATATTTAATATTCTATAATAGCATATTAATTATTAATTTTTATGTTTATTATATGCACTTGTATGATTAACAATGCGAAAGATTCAGGATACCTTCGGGACCCGTCTTGAAACACGGACCAAGGAGTCTAACATATTTGCAAGTTATTGGGAATAAAAACCTAATAGCGAAATTAACATAACTTTATTTGGGATTAGTTTTTAGCCTATTTATAGTCTATTAATTCAATCCCGGGGCGTTCTATCGTTATGTATAATAATATTTATATTATTTATACCTCTAACTAGAGCGTACCTTGAGCATATATGCTGTGACCCGAAAGATGGTGAACTATACTTGATCAGGTTGAAGTCAGGGGAAACCCTGATGGAAGACCGAAACAGTTCTGACGTGCAAATCGATTGTCAGAATTGAGTATAGGGGCGAAAGACCAATCGAACCATCTAGTAGCTGGTTCCCTCCGAAGTTTCCCTCAGGATAGCTGGTGCATTTAAAATTTATGTAAAATAATCTTATCTGGTAAAGCGAATGATTAGAGGCCTTAGGGTCGAAACGATCTTAACCTATTCTCAAACTTTAAATGGGTAAGAACCTCACCTTTCTTGGTATGAAGGTAGTGGTTGTGATATAATGTGCCCAGTGGGCCACTTTTGGTAAGCAGAACTGGCGCTGTGGGATGAACCAAACGTAATGTTACGGTGCCCAAATTAACAACTCATGCAGATACCATGAAAGGCGTTGGTTGCTTAAAACAGCAGGACGGTGGACATGGAAGTCGTAATCCGCTAAGGAGTGTGTAACAACTCACCTGCCGAAGCAACTAGCCCTTAAAATGGATGGCGCTTAAGTTGTATACCTATACATTACCGCTAAAGTAGATGATTTATGTTCAATTTCGGTTGGATTATAAATTTTGAAACTTTAGTGAGT